ATCAGGTAGTTTCGACTGAGAGTGACATATCTCCACCGGCGATGGACTCTCGAAGCCACGCTGAAATGCAACAGATACCGCTTCGTCTACCGTGGAATCTTATTCCTTCTAGATACAGACTCTGGGAGCTATTCTTTGCTCACCGAGACTACTTCTGGCGGATAGGCCTCTGCGTTCCTGGCGGTGATCCAACGGGCAAGAAAGAAAACCATCACTAAACCTACCAGAGAATATGACCACGGGCAATGCACGATATCAGGGTGATAGATACTAAGCGCCTGCCTAGCTTTTGTTTGTCTTATTTCTTATGGGCATGAATGTGTTGTTCGCAATATGGAGCATATGATTCTAGGACTAACTCAGAGATTCTCTTTGCCGACTAGATTATCTGTATGCATGGTTGCTGGTGTATTAGCTGAGAGAGTGATAGTTGATGACCCTGAGCATTGGACAGAGACGCAAGGGTGCTGTATAGTATGTAGAGGATGCGATTCCTACAGTTAGCCTGCACTGCATGCCTTAGTTATTATCATAGGACTGAAGTCAGTGTGTTTTGGTCGAGATAGCTTGCTTATTGATAAGATAAGGAATTGCAGGCAGTGTTGGTATTCACAGGAAGGGCCATGAAAAACGCAAAATCCGAACGTGAATCGTTATGTGGATACGTGAGATATACGTATGAGAGTTTCAATGGTAATTATAATGACTAGGAGGATATGTCATAAGAGTCATGCCCAGTAAGCAAAAAGGGAAGCAGATCCGAAGGGGGAATAGGACAAAGTAAGACTGAAGAGACAAGGTAGGCGGGGAAGCAGAGAGATAATACAACATCCTTGTTTCACCGGAATGCAGTTCACTTCCCATGTCCTAAGCTTGGGATAATGACCGGCCCATATTTGACAACCGTCCCGTAGGATCCGTCACCCTGGACCATAAAATCTACGGCAAGATTCAGCCTGCCTCCATGACTCGCGGGTGCTTGCCCATACATCGTATTGACCGTTTCAGGATCATAGGCTACGATGGCAGCGTAATTCCGGCGACCCATCAGCTTACGGTGTTCGCGAGCCTGTCCCATGACGTCGGTTTGGAATATCTCCATCATATCCTCCTTCGTATCAGTAGGCTGCGATGGAGAGGAGCGATGCCCATTTGCTGGAACATAGAGCGGCTTGTTGCTGCTGTGAAGAAGCTTGATGACATATGAAGGCGGGGGATTGTTCACAACAGCGGATGAGATGATTTGATACATGGTCTTGTAGTCAGAAGGATGGGCTGGATCGTGGACCAATCCTGCACCGCACACGTTGACAGACCCGGAAAGAAAAGTCATACGGAGAAACTTCTGATGTGCAATACCCTGGAGAGTGCGAATGAGGTACGTTCGCTCAAGATCCTACATATACATAGAACTATTAGGGCCGAAAAATCACGAGGATCAGAAATCATCTTCAAACGCACCTTGGATTCATGAGTCCACTGATCTCGGAGCTCGTCCATCAGGTCGAATTCTCCAAACGGGCTTAATATGCCTCCCATAAGGCCAGACTTGCCTACAGCACGCTTGACGGAATCAAATCCAGAACCTACCACTTCTTTTGCGCCAACCACGCCCGCCACAGAGCTCGTAACTTTGCCAAGGACGTTATATGCACCCGTGACAGCTCTTTTACCCGAAGCAACAGTGTTTGCGATATGCTCTGCAGTCTCCAAGCGTGGGTAAATGACAGGCACGGAGATCATCCACAAACAGTGCTGTACCGATGGAGGCAGCATTGCAACTTTGGGGAAAATACCTTGATATGTAGGTCCAGCGACAACTTGGTGTGGGTTGCGCTCCGACCGGCAATCAAGCCCAACAACAACCACGGCCGGCCCAAGGAACTTAACAAAATGCCAGCCGGTGCCAGTAATGGTGAATAAGTCCATGTCGGTGCTGGCATTGCGAAGCAATTCAAGCGTCGTATGGTGCTGGAAAAGCAGATACATCTCAGTACCAACGCGCCCAATGTTTTTGAACATATTCGAGAACTGCATATGCTCAGGGTATGACCCGTAACCGTCAAATCTACTGGACATCAGCCGAGCCCACAGTATTGTTTCAGGATAGACAGTCACTCACATGTCATGATCATCAACTTGGCAAACATAAGGAATCTGGGCAAACGATTCCCGTAGGTATGGCTGATCGAAGTGGCTAGTGTAGTAATGGAAGTATGCATGAGAGACGTCTTCCTCATGCGAAGCAGTCCAAGGCATGCTTTTTCGAGCCTCCTTGCCGCGAATTGCAAGCCATTGCTTGAGCGAAGGGATCTCTTTCCACATTCTATCCGCATAGATCTGTCCGCCCAAACACAGTTGAGCATGAAACCCCCCAATTTCATTGTGCTTCTGCATGATGTCCTTCCACATAAAACTGACGCCCCCAAGACGAGACCGCTCATTAGCGTTCACATTGAGTGAAAAGTCATTCCCCGAAGTTGTGATGAAACGCCAATTCGTCTCATGTCGGCCAGCGACCAAGAACTCGTAGCGCGTGCATCCCAGGTGTGACGTAATTGCGTAGGTCCATTTTGCGGGACCCGATTCATCCATTTGCAAGTCAATGTCGTACTTGTAGAACGTCCACCTCTGATGAACGGCGATAGCGGATGCCTTCAATTGACGCGGGTTCGGTGACAGATCAACGCTCTGATGGATATGGATCGTTGGAGGCTGCGCAGCGTCGGTAACAAGTAGAATGGAACCTAGCCAAATACCGCGCTCTAGATTTATATTGGCATAGCGAAGGTATGGTCCAAAGTAAACACCATTCGTTGGCGCAATTTTGTATAAGTCCACCCCACTACTCGGTGGAGGACCAGTAAACCCTGCAACAACTGGTGACTGTAGACTCTCATAACCTGGGGTCAGAGGAATCCCAGGGGACGCCAGTGGTTTACCAAAGGCTGACAACCCCGGGGAAGCGAGGGGATGGCTGCTATATATGCTCCCTACCGGTGACAAAGGAGTTTCGTTGAGGTTCAATGGTGTGGGCCCCTTTGGGAATTCCCACTGAGTTGACTGAGTTTGGAGGTGAATGTAGTAGTACTGGCCCGAGTTGGGGTCCATATGAGCAATCCATCCTTCGGGAAGTGGAGGGGGGGAGGCAGGTGGGATTCCCGTAGAGGTAGGCAACGTTGTAGCTTGAGTCTCTTGAACTGTCTGCTGCTGCCCATCCCGGACGCCGGTTTGCGTGCCACTCTCTGGGGATTGTTCTAATGGCTGTTCTTGCCTTGGGTCATTCGCAAACGCCGGGTGATCCTGAGCCGAAACTTCGAGTGTCGCAGAATTTGTCGCTGCACTGATGGGCGCTATCATCGCGGGATGCACCGCTGGTGATGCCTGAGGCCCTGGAGTTGTCCGAGCGTGTTGTTTTTCATTTGGGTACCCTTGCGACACGGCCGGACCAGATACACTCGAGTATGCAGGAGGAGGTGAAGAGCTTATGCGCATCCTTTCTAGATCCTGTTCCAGAGCATTTGACGGGATTCTTGGATGATGCAAACCTTGCACTGTCTGCCCTGAACTTGCTACAGATTGGGATGGAAAGGGATTCCCAGGGAGGTTCTCCGTAGATACAACTTCCGCGCCTTGATATACTGTTGGAGGCCCATGAGGTTGGCTCCCTGGCTGCTCCGTCGGGGTCCATGGCCTCTGGATGGGCAGCTGACTCGTTGGTTGCTGACTCACATACTGCTCGGCTCTTCTTTGTGCCGCTGAATTTTGGGCCTGCAAGCCTGCTAGAACCGAAGTACCTGCGATACCAGAAGCCGCATAGCGTGCCTCGATGTCCGATGCTGGCTGGTGGCCCGGCTCAATAATTGGGGTTTCTGGAGGTGGAGGGGAGCCCCGCTGGGCGCGAGTTGTCGACGTCGATGCTGTTGAGCTAATGCGATTGATTGCACTGCTAGGAGTCTGTAGGCTTTGTGCTGTCGGCGGTCTCGCGGAAGGTCCTGACGAGGTTGCGGCCTGAGGAGGTGGGTAATACTGCTGGCGGTAGTTCAAGTGAACAGCCCCATCAGGCTGGGTACCGTTGGCAGGCGCCGGTGGAGCAGGAGTTCGCTGATATCTCGTTACAAACAATCCCTCTTTGTCCGGAGTATCACCCGCAGGTGATTCAGGCAGGGGCTTCGGGACATTGCCTCGTCGTTCTGCCAGAGTAGCAGGCTTAGGCTCGCGACCATCCCGCGGCCGTAAAGCCGCCGGATAGTCCGACCTGGATGGGCCGGTATTAGCAGGCATAGAAGGCATGTTCTCTGGATTCGTGGGGGAGTCGCCCGTGCGTCCACCACCATCAGCCGTTGGACTTGAACGGCTGGTACTTGAGCTGCGCATTTTCTGGGGGTTTGGTCGGTCGTCAGGGTATGGAAGGGGAGCAACCTGTGGTGCTGGTGATGGTGTGTCTCTCTTGTTAATCCGCAACGGTCCAACAACGGGGGACTCGACCGGCGATCGCCCCGGAGTATGGATGAACAGTTCCTCGTCGGAGTGATTGCCTTGACGGCCCCTGCTGGGATTCATTGTATGAATCCTGGTAAGAATAGGCTATATTAAGTCAATTCTGTTGTCCAACATGGTAGTCAATGTGATCTAGGAAAAGCAAAAGACGCGCTGCTGTAAAGATGCGGGGGAGGGGAAATCGGAAAACCTGCCAGTATTTATTGATTTGATGGAGAACCCTAAGTAGACCCCTAGTAGTAATAGTAGTTGGCAGTCACTTTCACGTCAGGCCCTCAGCCGACGAGGACAGGAAATGAAACGAAGTATATTCTTTCTTCTCTACTTCGTATTCTCGTTGGAAAATAGGCAGCTTCGTTCCAAATACTTCAGCGATCACCTTCAGTAACCAACCAACTAGTTTTAGCCGCCGAGGGATTTCTGGTGTCGACGCTTAGCGATCATCATTGGTTCAGTCGGACTGGAGCGCCACTTCTGGAGGGGCTTTTGAGAACAAATAACATTGCATGATTTTATGTTCTTTTCGAATTAGAATAAGAGTACGGAGTCTGCTCTATTTGCAGGATCGGCCCGCTTCTAAATTCCATGGTTGGGAATTACGGCCATTCTCCCATCATTTCGACGTTCAACATACATAGACATCAAAGATTGATTATATAGATAGATGAATGAGTATAATGGAAAGGGAAAAGAATAAGAAATAAAAATAAAGAATAAAGAAATAAAGTAAGATTAAATAAATAAATAAAAATGAAAATTCTCAACCTCGTCGCACTTCTTCCTCCCTTCTCATCCGTAACTGACTAAACGAAAGCCACGTTCGGCCAAGAGTTCAACCCAGTCAATCCATGGGAATGCTCTGCCACTAGTATTACCACTGGATCGCTGCATCTGGTACTCATACACCAGTTGGAGCATAGAGCACGTCGTAGATGCATTATATCCTATCTCATTTTCCTCTAGATTTGAGAGCAGTTCCCATGCCTTGACTTTGAGGTCGATCGTCTCCGCCGCAATTCCCGCCAGGAACAAAGGGAAGATGATGAAGTGCAGAGGACTGCCTTGGCTTCTCACCATCATCGCCTCTGCATGTTGGAAGATCATGGTCGTGTGGTGATGCACTATCTGCGCGGGGATTTCGCCTAAGCCAATGCTCTGGCTAGGACACGTGCTAGTATAGTAAAGGAGAAGTGAAGTATGGAAGAGTAAATTAATCTGATGGCCTAGCCTTAGCTTTGAAAACTGCGATGGAGCACAATGAAAAAAAAACCTTGACCAACCTGCTCGAAAATGTTTTGTAGTTGTTTTGGCAGCCTCGTTTGATTCTCGGCCCAGAAGCGAACGTCTGAAGAGTCCCAAAGTCGCCTGAAGTCTTCATGTAAATTGATTGGGGGATATGAATAAGATGTGCCCAGCTTCTTCATATCCGCAATAGTTAACCCTAGCTGGACGGCTAGCCCGAACATGTCCATGTACAGCTGCAACAGTAATGTTAGATTGTCGGGCTCATGCGAATTGATGACATCGGATCCATGAGGCCCGATAGGGGAAAGAAGGGACCCTGGCCAGGGGAGAAGGTCGCTTTCTAGAACCGGTTTGACATATTCTCCTGTACCTGCGCCGCTGAGAAGGGCATATAGGTCAATGTTGCAGATCCACCAGATGACGAACGGAAATCGCTCCACTCCAAAGGCCGATTGCCTCAGGAATGTAATTTCGAGCATTTGGGATATATGATGAGACCAGAGGCTCGGCCCATCTGACTTGGCAATCATGGCCTTCAGAAATTAGACATCAGCCTGTTTGTGTCTGAGATCTCAGGCCTCGAGTTTACAAGAGACCTACCTCGTGTATGAGCAGTAGAAATTGCGTAAGAAAAAGTCCGTCAGATAGAAGATTGTCGCTGTGATGGAATATATCCTGAGGAAGTGGGAAATCCTGCCGGTGCGGATTCATGGCGCTCATATCTACACAGCTTCCTTGACGGTCTAGACCGATCTCAGATAATGCCATCATCGCTTGAAAAAGCTTTATATAGAGTGGTTAGTTATTACGCAGAATAAGACAACTGGAGAAATGCAGCATACAGGTGGGCAGATAGCAGCTTCTTGTTCCAAGACCTCGACACCCAGTCTATGACCGTCTGAACAGATCCCGTGGGGGACCAGTTTTGGCCATACCACATTGCGAAAATGTGAGAGTAGCATAGCCTCATAATCCATCAGCCTGGTTTGTGGCTGAGCATTAAAATCATCCAGGGTGCTCGACTCAGCTGAATATACTGAGACTGTAGATGGATATGGGGAGTCTCGAGGATCAGACTCCAGCGTTTGAGTGGAACCTCTGTAGTCTGAACACAGGTATCTCCTGGCATCAGGAAACGTCTTGAGTATGACCACATTTGGATCGTTCACCTCTGGGTTGTGGCTACTTAGCCCACTATATATCAAGGGACTTGATGTTGAGCTCCTGCATTGTTCCTTAGATCGTTCATCAGCATGTCTAGGAAGACAAGAGAAGCTCTCCGGCATTATTATAACAGTGTAAGTGCCGGGAATGGACGACTGAGCCTTCCTCTCCCGTTCCTCGTCAGTTGTGAGTGTCGCGAATGAAGGCAGCAGATCGGGTAGTCCGTAACCAGCAGACGGAAGCCCGGCACTTCTACTCATATGAGCTGTCGATATTATCTGAATTAGCGTATCGTACGTAGCATTAGGCAAGGATGAAATGGAAGAGGGTCTCACGGTCCCAAACAAGGTTGCCTACTGTCTCCACGTCTGACATCCGTTCGATTACCCGACGGGTATCATCTCTAAAGGATAAGCGTGGCCGGTAGTCACAATCATGGCCCAGCCTGGTACATTGCTTGCTCAGGGCAAATCAGCCTGTGATTCTGTTGTCCAGGAAAAACGTGTCTTGTTTTAGTACATTACACCGAGGATGCTTCTCGTCACATTTGACTGGATGTCCACTGAGTTACTACAAACATTCATAGGTCTCTTCTTGTTGAAGTAGTATTCAAGAGTCATCTTACCTTTGCGACTCTGTTACATTCACAATCGTCAAGTTAGCATACTAGGCCAGGGACCAGTGTGTATATAGAAAGAACTATGGCGATGGGAGTTTTCGGCGTACTCTACACGTCCTAGAAGTGAAAATGAGCTCAAGTCTTCTGACAAACCTTTAGAATCTAAGCGCAACGTACCAGCAACCGTTCCGAGATCTCGGTGGAAACCGTCCATGAGAGCGCGGAATTGAAGTCTTCACGGGTACAGCGGGGTTGACACCGGAGCTCGACGTTGTACCCTTTGGAGCAATGATGGGTAGCCACAGAGAGCGCTTCCTCAATGTTTTGCCCCGTTTGTTTGACCGGACTAAACTTATGATGGTCATCGTGGCAATCTAATTTTCTATCAGTGAGAGTCAGCTCCTAACTTGTAGAGAAGCAGGTGAGCCATCTGAGACTTACGCGTCCAATTCTGTGGCAGATACCGCTGATAAACCCGAGCTCTATCTATGCAAAGCCTAGGCTAAGGAGGAGCATGAAGAGATCGAGGAATGGCAGCAGTAGAGTGGTATAAAGATGAAGCTAGAATACAATGCCAGGAAGACCGAGACGAGGATATGTATGATACCTACATTTTTGGCCTTTGATCAGGAGAAAAAGAAAACAACAGTTATAGCACGGATTTTAACTGCAAGACAAGCTTAGGCATCGAGCATCAGACAAGACCCGGAAAGCCTCCTGCATCAGCCAGCCTCGTAGTGGTGGCGGTCTCCATGTACCTTACGGTCTCAATTGAGAGGCAAATCGGAAGGTTGTTAGCAACTCCCATCTGAACAGCCAAATATTTGTTTGCCCCTCTAGAAGGCGAAGGATTGGATGAAAAAGATCAGTTTTGGCACCCTAGTCAACATCTACATTAGCGCGAGCGCGCGAGTAGAACAAACGGCGTATTGCGAGCGGTAGATGCCAACCATGTGGGATGGATGAAGATTCTTGCGGGTCGGACGATGATGACCCAGTGTCTTTTCTTTTCGTTTCCTTCTTTCCCTTTATTTGTTTCCTGCATTTTATTTTATATTATATCTTATTATCTCTCTCTCTCTCTCTCTGTCTGTGTGTGTGGGGGGTGTCTCTTTTCTACCCAAGAGGTCAACATCAGTTGTGATCAAGATGATGCTTCAATGAACCAAAAGTCAGCCCGTGACCAATGTCATCTGACCCAATGCAGTAAAGAAAAGCGATTCCAGAGTCAGCATTTCTTCCACCCTACTAAGACTAAACTAGCAGCTGGTCATGGCCCGGCAGTTGGGTAGGTTTTAGTCGTTAAATGACATGACAGTTCCCCCCTTGGCGGAACTTTATCAGGTACCTACCCGGGATCCCGTCAAGTTTCTCCCAGCACAGCCACAACGAATTGGGAAGATTCCTTAACCATGCAACTACTCTAGTCGCTACCTATCATCCCTTGAGTCTATTCCCATATGATCCGTAATGCTCTTCCTTTTCCTCCCTTATAATCTATTTCTTCCAAGTTTTGAACGTGTCGGATAATTTCCTACAGTTTCTACCCACCACCTGGGTTAATTCTGTAGTGGTGGGGTCTAGCCCTAGTACTAGATAATACTACTTCATGCTGACCCGCAGGTACTAACAGACCACACTAATGCTATTATGCTACAGGCTCAAAAACATGGATGGCACCGACCACTCAGAAATAAACCCCATGACTTGCGGGATCTGTAGGCCCTCAGAGACACGCGCCTGGGCCGGTCTGGACCTTCTTCTCCAGGCGGATCCAGTTTTCAATTTGTATAGCCTCCTAGTGGACCTGAATATAAAATCAACTTCTAAATCAACAGAAGCCAATAGCCCATCCCCGTGTATGATTGGCTGGCAGGCTCAGCCGAACCATTCACTCATGGGTGCATGTTTGCAACATGAAGGATCTTGATTCGATATATGGGACTTTGTTTTAGGGCATCTCATCATCATTGAACAAAAGCCGTCAGTCACTTTTAAAGTCCCCTAATAGGCTGACGCTTACTAGTCGCAAAATGCCGTGGCCCTTTCGGATGCTTCCGGTCGACCCTAGCTGCCACCCATGCTCGTTGCGACGTGGACGACTCATGCTTCATTGCATGAGTCTCGCCAGGGCTTGGTCTAGGACTTGCTGCACTGGCCCGGATCTTTCGCTCTCCCTCCAGGTCTTCAGTAACCCGCAGAGTTCCCCATCGATATCAAGCCCAATATCGAGTTGTTTGCAGAACGTAATGTATGACATTGCGGCCTGCGCACGTTCTCTTCGGATTGCTTCGGCACTCACATCTATCTGGCGGGACAACATCTCGCCTGCCAGAGCTGCCAAAGATATTTGTAGTTCGCGCAGCTTAGGCCCCTTGTCCTGTGATTCTAAAACCCCTGTACTTACTCTACTGGAGAACATGCGAAGTTCCTCGTACAGCGTAATCTGCACATTTCTGCCTCCATTGTCCAATGTTTCGTGCAGAAGACGCTTTACGTCTGACACATAGTGGTTGGTAGCTGTGTATATAGTCAGCAAAGCCAATATAACGGCAACACCAGGGGGAATTGACTTACCTTCAGCTGGTGCTGCACATGTTAGATTGATACATTGCAAGAGGCATTTAACACAAGCCACCAAAGTATCCTCTCGGGTTTGTCTATTGGTGGTTAGTCATTGAAAGGATAAAGGGATGTCACTATAGTACTTGTTCTTTTGACCGCTGCCTGAGTCGATGTCCATTGAGTCCTCTCCCTCGTCAAATTCACTGAGTACCCGAGAAACAATATCAACGGCATCTGGCATCAAATTGAGATCTTGGCGCGCTTGAGCAATCCCACCAAAAGCAGTGATAGCATGTGGGCGATATGTTGGGTTAATCCGTTTAGCCTCCCTGATTGCGATGGCCTGAGAGGTTGGTAAGCACATCAGGTCAAATACTTTTGAAAAAGGAAGGGACTGAAAAACATAGAAAGAATTCACCTTCATTGTATCACCAACTCGAGGCTTCTCTAGCCATAGCATCTTTGCTTGGCTGGTGAATTTCATAAATGCTTTCACAACAACTTCCTTACCGTCCCATGTTTTCCCAGCCAATGCTTTCTCCAGAACAGGCCATAAGTACTCGCTAGTAGCAAGATCCAGTTCGGGGTCTAGTGCCATGATGCCATTCGCAAACCCCAATGCCGCAGTATGCTTGATGATCCAGCGAGGAGAATCGAGATTGTCTGAAACAAGGCTGGTAATTTCTTTTATATATAGCGATACCGCACGATTACCGCCCACATTGTCCTGCCATGTCTTCTCAAATGCTTCTTGAACGTGCTCATCAGTGTCGTACTTGGAAACAAATATAAACGGCAAGGCAGTTGCAGCAAATGCCATGAATCGGTCATTGGACAACTTAGATGTGGAGTGTAAAATTTCCGCTGCGATGATTCGCTGGTTTGCATCTTCTGCCGTTAGATACAGAGTTTTCGCATGTTCAATTGTTTTTAGCACTCGGTCGTCCGAAGCTAGTCGCATGAGGTAGCCTATTGATGTACAATAAGACGCACTGACCGTGTCGTTGCGGTCAACGACGTATTTTACAAGAAGCTGGATGAAACGATCCGCATAAGGGCGGAACAGGGCTGTTCTCATGCTCAGGAGAACTAGTACGCGACTGCAGCCCACTTTCGTTGGAAGCCCAACTGCAGAGCGAAGCACGCTTTCCAGACTCACAGCGAATTCCTTCATGCTAGTTTCGTCGAGCATATCTATTAGATACCGCTCAATAACTTCCATCATTGGAGATGTGCGTATGCTGGACAGCCTCATTTTGTCGATCTCTTGGCCCGTTAAACCATACTTGTCCGCGTTGAGATGGACATAGTTGACGGCTTGTGGCTCTAGGGAACTTAGAGAGTTCAAGAATTGTTCCATCACGCGGGGAACAAATGGGCGCAACGGCTGACCAGGACTCTTCTTTATTATCTGGATTAAAGCCCCAATAGCAAATCCTTGAACCTCTTGAACATCAGATTCCATACCCTTGTCACTCAGTAAAAATGGGATAGTGCTTGCTAGCATAATGTCTGCTCGTTTTGTCTCGGTATAACTTGTTTCCAGAGTACGGATCACTGCATTGGTTATTGCCTGGCAAAGCTTCAGAGCAGCCGCTCGAACTGACTCCTTGATGTCATCTACAAGCTTGAAGGCTTTTAGAAAGATTTCCTCCATATATTTAGAGTATTTCTCTGGCTGGCGCCCTTGAATTATATCCGTAATAGCAGCACAACTTGCTTGTCGAACGCGCCATTCCCGACCGGCCAGCATGCTTCTCAGTAGATCGTCCATAATCTCATCAAAATGATCACTGATGATTGCAGTAGTGTCCTTGACCAACGCCTGCCATATTGTGTTCATGGACCGCTGCACATTTGGATTCGGATCAAACCGGTAGCGAAACAATTTTGGGTAGATTTTGGGATTCTTGGCCAGGTAGCCATTGGCGCTGGAATCGGAGAATATAGTGCTTATGCCTAGCTTGCTAAATGCTGCACGATTGGTCCAAAGGGCATTATTCGAAGCCAGAGACATGAATCGATACACAAGTGTGGGATCGCCAGCCTCAGAGGCTAAGTTCATAATATCTTTGTAAGTATTGACTGATGACCCGCCTCCAGTTGGTAGAGCACCTGGCTCAAATAGTTCGGTGTCTTCGCTGACTTTGCCTCCCCCAAGATTGGAGCCAGCTGCCGTAAAAGAGTCTACTAAGTCGCGTACCAAATCATCCTTTAGCGTCTGGTCACCGATATCGTACACAAGGCTTAGACCTTGGGCCCCGGTCTCCTGCACCACTTCATCTCTATCCGCAAGTAAACGCGTGAATGTTCTTTGACATTTACGCAGGCGGGCCTGCATTTGTTGTAGGTGACCACAATTTTTCACCAGACAGAGTAACCATATGGAAGACGCTTTCCTCAGAGAAGGCTTCGATGCACCGCAATCAGTAATGATCTTGTCGCACATTTCGGCCAATACCGTATCAGAGAGTTGCAAAGTGGGGAGCTTTTCGTCGACGTCAAATTCCGTGGCGATAGATTTAGAGGTCCATCCCGCTGCAGCACAGCTCAAAGCCTCACCGACAGTAAAATGTGTCTCTGGGCTACGGATTTCATGTAGGTCGTACAAGGATTTCAAGAAGTTAGTAAACTGCGGGTCTTTATGGTCGACCTTGGAAAATGACACAGATAGGAGGCCCATTGCTATAATCGCTATTTCACTCTCAGCCTTTGCGTCCGGCTTCAACTTATCATTAATCGTCTCCCATTCGTCGTCTGAAAGTACTATCGTGGACAAAACTCCGGAGAGACTCAGCTGCCCGATGGCCACCTGTGCGGACCGTCGAAGCAAAGAATCGCGTGCGTCTCTAATGATATCGAAGACCGTGCTAATGAATAGGTTGACCGTCGTTTCCGGTGCTTTGTATATAGCGTTGCGAAACGCCAGTCGGCTCAAGATATATGCGAGCGCAAGGACCGCGCCCCGAGTTATAAGCACAACTTCGCCAATGGCAGATTTCCAATCCCCTATGGGGACTAAGAGTTCTGAAAGGAGTTCTCTCAGTTGATTTTCCGAAAATGCAGGGTGAGAGGCGAGAATTCCAAGTGCGCGTGCTGAGAAGTTCTGGAGTTCTTGATCATTACTGTAAAGGGAATTTTTCAGCGTGACAACCTTCGATACCATGAGCTCAACGATGTCGTTCGAAGCTAAAGAGCAAATACCGATGAATTTTTCTCCACACTGCCACAGGCCTTTTTGAGCCCCGCCACTAAGGCCAGAGAGAGCACTTGTCAGAAATAGCAGCACAGCTTCTTTGTCGGAGTTTTCGATGTAGCGTTTCATAGCGCACCGCGCTTGCTCATCGGATGTAAGAAGCACGTCCAATTTGATATCCCAATCTTGCTCTATTTCTGGGCTTATATTCGAACCGGATAATGACTCCCAAAGCAAAATGTTGCGAAGAAAAGCGATTGTGTAATTGAATGCCTCCTTATAGGGACCTGACAATATCTCTGCCGCAGAGAGACCTGGTACAACAGTGGACGCAGTCGAACCCAGGAGAAAGCGTGCTGCCTCTGAAAAACTCGGAAATTTGAACCATGACGAGCGTGAGTCAGCCGTCACCGATGTAAACCATATTTTTTCTTTAGTGGGGTTTAGAAGACGATACCAATAAGGGTGCAGCCCTTTCTTGCCTTCTTCTACGACTTCGTGATGTCTTTCAGATCCGCATGCCACAGCCATGAGGTCGATCCAGCGAGCGACGACATCACTATATGGTAAGAACCTATTGGCGAAACGTACAGCAGCATACTGAGTGCGACGAACGATCTTGAACCCAGTTACAGGGTCCTCTTCCCCGGGGTGGCTGTTCATCTGACGAAGCAAAAAAGGTCGCAAACTTTCTTGGAACTCTTGATCCCAGCTATCCACCGAGGAATTAAGAATGCTTCCTAATGCTTGTTCAATACTCACAAAGATTTGTGCGCTGGAATCGTCAGAGCTTAGTGATATGAACAGCCACCTAATGAGTTCGAAGCCCGAGATAGCATTCTGCCCATCTTGTACTTGAAAATCCACCTTCGGCACCAATATACCGATGCTCTCATAAGCAAGGCCTCGTAAGCTTAGGTCCGTTGCAGGCAGCCTCTGTCCACTGGAGCCTGGGCTCGGCCACCCCTGAGAATGGATAAAGTCTCTAAGGCCCCCAATAACCTTCGGTGCGATTTGCCTGAGGTCCATGGGGGATCCAATGCGAACTACCCACGTAGTAAAAGTGAAGATCTGGGTTCGCAACTTCGAGGCCTGCAATCCTTGTGAAGATCTTGCAACGTCCGAAAGAAGGCCCTCTTCAATCAATCGGAGGACATTGGCTGTCTCCGAAGCAGCCCTGAGTGATTTTCCTAAGTAAACTAAAATCTTAATTCGTAGCGCAGTGCGCGCCGGGGTTGCGCCATCAGGTTCCACAGAGCCGAAGTACAAGGTAAACAGTCGATGTACAACATCTGTATCTTCAAGATCAGGTATGAAGCGCTTCAATATTTCCTCACCAAGATCAGCTAGGCGAGAATTTGGGTCCGCAGACGCCACCAGAGCAGGAAAAAAGCGCTCTGAGTCTGTGAAGGCACTGCTACCGAGAAACCTTAGAGCTGTAGCTTTCGTCTCGGTGAGATTCAAGCCCCCATGTGAAGACGGGTTCCACGTTTCGGACGGGGAAGCACTCTTGTTGAGGAACGCGTAGTCTGCTGGGGACAATCCCGGACAAGTGGAGGCGTTCTTATCCGCAGGGAAAAGAATCAATAGTTTCTCAAACCATAAGGACAAGAACTTGGTGTCCTTGTTGGATAGACCTAGTCGAGATTTCAGTTGTTTGTCTTCGGTGCTGTCCTTCGGTGGAAGCTTTAAAAGAGGTAAAAGTCGCAGGACAAGGTTAAACACAACAGCCGCTTGGTCGTCGATCGATGTTCCAATTTCGGAAATCCCTTGGAGCAATGGAAGCAGAATCTCGACCCTCGCATTTGCTCCTAAGCGATCAATGCCTTGTTGGATATAAATTAAGTCGAAGTGTCTAATGAGTTTGGACTTCTGCTCCTTAAATTGCTTCAGCAAAGCTGCAACTGGAAGCTTAATCGACGGAGCTTGCACTCTGTTGTTGATATGCTGACACACTGCAATTACTTTGTTGCGGACTGCAAGGCTCTCAGAGCCTAACTTTAACAGTAAAGGAGCCAGATACTTATTGAGTAAAGCATCGAGTTTCTCATCTGTATCTGCTAAAGCGATTCTGAATTCGACGTTGGATACTAAATTCAACTCGCGAGCTTCAGAACTTGCTGACGTGGTTTGTGAAGCCATAGCAAAAATGAATTTTTTTGATGAGAATGACAAACACAAGGTCGTCCCGGCAGTCGAGGTAGGAAATAGGTGAACTTGAGATAATCTGATGTACTCTGTACTAGTACCCCACACGCCTCTACCAGGCAGAGACGCTCACGTCAGTTACAGTCCTGAGGCCGGCAATAAGCTCCTTTCCGAATTAGGAGCTGTCGGGATTAGTCATTATGTATTACTAAATAGTTAAAGTAACTAATCGGTAAACGGCTGGGTCACGCAAGCGGCTGGGACACCTCAGTATTCCATACAGTATAGCCTTATTTCAAACACCAATGTCCTAACCAATCTTCTTAATATGTACTTGGAGGTTTATATATAGTCTATTATATACTTGTATGGAGGAAGAGAAACTAAGGTTTACAGTTTTTGAAAACCCTTAATCACTAGGGCAATGTAGATTACTACGTATTCTATAGTATTATTAATATATAGCTGCAATTTATGTTATCAGCACTTCTTTTCCATTTATATATAATTTCATGTATAAAAATATCTATATCAGTAATTTACTAGAATTGTATCCAGATATACTAAATAGTGGTTGAGATATTGATGTTTGAAGATAGACCATTTTCTATGTAATACTAATAGTAAATTTATAGAAAATGGAGAGGTGACCCAGTTGCTTGCGTCAGCCGTTTACTGATCACGTTAAAATAATCGGTCAATGAGACAGTACGAGAGTCAAATTCAATTAGGAGCGTTTTTTTCGAGGTTTGCGAGCTTCTATACGTACATATACATACTTTATTACTCCGGTGTATACATACATCGTGCATCGCCCATTAACGATAATCAAGAACCTGCTCCAGCTCTTCGCTGCTCTGCTGCCTCACCTCTTAGGAACCTTGCTACCTCTCCGTCGGCACCTGCCTGCAAATTATTGGCTTCCTTTTTTGTTGGATTGCCAAAAAGGCACCGCCATAGGTCGTCCTTTCTAACGAGTTCACCGCCAGATGCTCCCGCGGCCATTAAATTTGACAGAGCTGCATCTCGGATTTCTAAGGAGTTTGCTGAGTCTATAGCCGCCTCACTAATATTATTTGTCACAGCTCTTCCCTTTTCGACATCTTCCGATAATGACTCCGCTTTTTCCTTCTGTACTATATGAGCGAGACGACGTGACACGGAAAGTTCGTATATCGATTCTTCGACGGTGTCAGAAACTAGATACATCCATACGGTGGTTGGTCGGTGCTGACCAATACGGTGTACACGAGCGATAGCCTGGAGCTCGATTGCAGTATTGATAAGCGGCTCGCAAAGGAAAACGTGGGTCGCGTTCACCAGGTTGAGACCTGATGAATGGGCTCTCGCATGCAAGAAAAAACATTCAACCTAGCAGGGATAGAGTTGAGCACGACAATTCCACGAGCTACTTGGGAAGAATGGGGTCATGAGGCTTACCGATGGGTCACTCTTGAACTTTGATATACCATCCTTGCTGTCAACACTGCTAAAGCCAATCTTAAATCTGTGGAACGCAATGGCTAGAACCTCTAAAAAGTCCTTGTATTGTGAGAATATCACGGACTTCGCACCAGGGTCATGGTGGCGCAGCCATAATATATGACGTGCCAGCGTATCGATCTTCGTGCCAAATGAACCGTCTAAATCGACGGTTTTGATTTCTCTGAGAGTGCCGGAGCTTATGTCAGTATATATTAAGTTCTTTTGTCGACGCTCAGGCTCAACTTTGGTTGGCGGCTTCTCCTCTTGGACAAGAAACTCTTGCGGCTTGTAGGTGATTTGATAGAAGTCATTAGCTTTCAAACGCTTTTTGCATGTCGGGCAAGTTCGATGTTGATGCCACCACATGCGCAGGCAATCTTTGCAATACTTGTGGCCACACACCGTTAGAACACCTAGATGTTGTTAGCCAGTCTTGTAACACGTCTACAGCTATAGTACCATACTCACCAGCTTCGAAGCCGGATTGGCAAATGACACATATCTTTGCCGAGTCGTCTGAGCCTGATTCGTCTCGGAGGTGGATTAGGTAACGATGTTTTGCTCTCAATGCGGAAATCTTTTCGTCTATCATCTCCTCTTGCCTAAGCTTTACAGAAAAAAGCGCCTCATCCAAGGGTTTACCAGCGCTTTCTTCGTCGTACGGGGCCACTGTATCGGAGATTTGTTGAAGCTGACGATAGTATTCAAGCCGATTATTCATAGTATCCCGAAACATCTCCACCTCCTTCTCCATGTTTGCTGCGACTTTAGCTTGCTCAGAAGCCATCTGACTCGCGTTTTGAAGAACCAAGGTTACGAGTTCAAGTTCAGCGCGAGCGCGAGAGCTTCCCCCGCTTGTCTGCCACTCGAGAGAGGTCACAAGACTTCGAAGTTCACTAATGATGCCGCGAAGTGAGCCCAGCTGTGGGTCGGGCTTGATCCTACTACGAGTGTTCATCATCTGTAGAAAGAGACTGGGTGAAGGTCCTTCTCCTTTCTGCGCTTGGACAATTCCGCTCTTGACTTCATGGGCAATGAGAACATTCTTCTGTCCAGTCAAAGCATCGTGGCGATCGGCGAACGTTGCGCGCAAGGCCTCCATGTAAACATACATCTCATCTTGATGCTTCGTAGACTTTTCATATTCGTCGCCTTCCAGCTCTGATTCATCCTCTTGGTCAATGAGCGACTGGGAAAGAAATTCGATCATGGTTTGACGCCATTCATCGTACTGGACAGCATGTCTGTTCATACTATCACAGAAATCTTCAAATTTATCGAGTACGCGGCGGGATTCAAGCCCTTTGCCCCATAGACGAGGCTTCATTTGAGGGATGTTAACAAACAGACCCTTTTGTGCTCTTTCTCTAATTGTTTGCATGAAGTGGCCAACCTTTCGCGAGATCTCAGCTAATATCTCCTTTCGAATCAACTTCGCAGACTCGTATGCCTCAACTTCGCGTTTTTCGAGGGTTCTAAACTCTTCGGAATCGGGCCTAGTAAGTCTGGGGTCTGTTTTTATTTGGAAATAGGCATTCCCGGTAAAGAAAACACATATATGTTGAACTTCAAGAGCAGCACGCAGCCTCTGACGTGCTCCTACTTGGGCGTTCTTGGTTGCTTCTTCATTTTCATCCTCGCTTTCTGTGTCAGCAGACGTTACGTCTAGATCCACGTTGGCGGCACTCATCGGGCGTTCCATCCGCTCCGAGTGCAAACGATCCCGACACTCCTTGACAATTACATTAGCCCGCTCTAATGACTTTGTCCAGAGACCAAGTGCTTGTTGCCGGTACTTCGCATTTTCCAGCAACTGCCCCCGGCGCAATTGTGAAAGAAGCAAAGAGCGCTCCTCTGCGTGTATAAGTGCGTCATTCTGATCGATCATGACCTCGAGAACTTCAGCCACGGAGCGCAGCGGTCCAGTACCAGTGCCTATCCCACGAAGAGGCTTTCCAGAAGGATGGAGGCAAGTTCGACGAAGTTTGATTAACCAACTTCGCATTCTTTCGATTACCGATGGGTCATCAGGGTCCCAATCCACATTCAAGGGAGCTCCAGATAAATCGAGACCACATGCTCCACACATTTCTTCAAACAACTGTCCGTAACGTTGTTCCTCAACCGCCGTAAAAGGGACCGTGATAACAATTCTCTTCTGAGGAGGTATGTGGAGTTCATTTCGAACATGATCCTTACTATGTCGGAGCGCAATCATACGAACAATGTTCGCCAATTCAGGCCTAAAGCTCCCGCATAGCCTATGCCAGATAACACCACAAAATGGTTCGTAATGGAGGAAGAGCAAAAGACCGAGGAGGTCAGATATATCTTTTCGGAGCGGTGTCCCTGTCACAGCCCAAGCATTTTGACGAGGAATTAAACGGGCAACCCTTGCCGCATTGCTGACTCCACTTTCAATCATCTGAGCTTCATCGATACAGACCCGCCACCAAGAAATCCGGACCAACGGTGTTCTCCTTGGTTCAAATCTCTTCTTATGCCGCAGATTCCTCTGTGGTACATCACCAGAATAGTGAACTTCTCGCGCAAGAATATTATAAGTAGTAAGCACAACGTCTTGATCTGCCAGCAACTCAACCAATTCTTCATCGGACAATGACTGCTGACGCTGGATACCAGTGTAGTGGAAGACATTGAGTCCAGGTGCATGCAGTTTGATTTCCTGTTCCCATTGCTCAAGAATTGCGGGTGGTGTTATTATTAGGGTTGCTCCTGATGGCCTCAAGCCATCATGATGGTGGTCTGGGAAGGTTTCTTCGGGGGCTAGGTGCCGGCGATTAAGACATATTAAACTGATCATTTCAACGGTTTTCCCAAGCCCCATTTCTTCGGCGAGGATTCCACCTCGGAGATGGTTGCCCCCGTCAAACCATTTCACAAGATCAGTGGTGACAATCATGAGCAGTTGGCTGGCAAAGCAAACTCGTCCATCTGCATCTGCGAATTCTTGGAATGAAGCGGGCAAACTCCTTTTCAATTTATCTCTGACAGGGACCACTCGCCCGTCAGCCTGAACTTCCACGCCTTCCCTTTGCAATAGCCACCTCACAGCCCTTCTTTGGAATGGGAACAGCTGACATTCGATCAAACTGCATTTGACCTCTGCCGATAATTCAGGTGTATCTGGAGGAACGTATACGTTATCATAAAAGTCGCGGGGAGACCACCCAAGCTGTCTCCGACTGTGCCGCTCCTGCCGTGAAGCATGGTCCTCTTGTTCCTGAAAGACATATCTAGAAAGTACTTTCCGTGCTCCATCTACCAGTTGATTATTACCTAGGATATCCAGACAATCCTTCCATAAGATAACTGTTTCAAGACAGAAGGACCTCTTTCTTTCAGGAACAGTATATAAAGTGGACTGATAGCACACGATGGGAATCTTTCTGGGAAGGCGATCAGCACAAACAAGGCTACTGGCGAACTCCAGGTCCTTGCTAAATTTTGGAAATGGCGGGTCATGCGATTCATATTCAAAGACAGTTTCCCGGTCTACCGTCGTTGCTAGCTGTAGCTTAAACCAGTCAAGCGTAGTCGCACCGACGCCAACATTTTTTTCGGCTGAAATATGGATGGGTAACTGGGAGAAACTATCAAAAGATATACCCGGGTCATCCTGGATCGGGCTTGCGGATGCGAAATCCTAACCAAGGTCAGTGAATCATCCGAGCTATGTCTTTCACGCATTAGCTTGGTGCCATACCAAATACAAATGAAAGCGTGCCAAGGGAATGTAACCTCGAGGAACTCTAGTATTCGAAAGACCATTTAGCTCCCTGAGGCTCTGAATACCCGAGGTCAACTTGCGACGCTTGTTCGGGGGGGCATCACTGTCGAAGTCTTTCGGGAACCTCCGCGCAAGAGCAGTTATCAAGATATCTGGCACTGCGCCTGAATGTGTTGGCGAAGAATTAGACTTTATTTCCTACAAAAGACTAAGGCGACGGATGATATTACCTGGACAATAAACTCTATCCTCCGACACAGCCATACTTCGCCCTCTCGTAACTCTCTACCTGATTCTCACACCAGGCGACTACAATGTAAAATGGAAGTGATTCAGTCGTGGCGGACTCCCTTGGGAATGAATCTTATCAAGAGATATCACGTGCCGATAATGTCCATATACTCCGGAGTAAGTATCCCTAGGCGTCGAACGAGCTCCGATTGGCCACAGTGTAGGTCCAAGTAGGAGGGTATCCACCTCCGGTCCATGGATGAAGGTGTACGGAGTAAGGTATCCACATTGTAGTAGAGCATATTCTAGAGTGACAAATGGGGATGCCAAGAAGGTCCATCATACTACGCTGTCTCTCCACGGTTATAGCTTAATCTCGTTGGATTGCTACACCTGACTAGTACCTAGAACGAATAGACATTGTGATACTAGAATGTTACTAGCCAGCCCAGTCATCTACTAGTACCTTCAACTTTCCCATGCATGATCGGGGACAAGTATCCTAGTGGGATAATACTGCACTGCAGGGAATCGAGCTCCTAGACCCGACCGGTGGTTGCAATACCCAAGGTACTTGAATGAAATGGCTTGAAAGAACTACAGTTGTTGGTGATTAAGGTATCTAGCGTTGGAAGCTTTGAATTAGACCCAGGGACGAGTATAACACAAACAGAATTTCCCAAATGTAGCATAAACCCATCACTTCAGGAGAGAACCATGGTCGCTCTGGTCATATGAAATAGATGGCTGGTCATCGCTTTCGTCTGAATCGGACACGACACTCCCGCTCACTACGCGAATTGACATTTTGTAGTGACTGAGGATATTGTTGTTCTCAAATACATCAGTTGTATCACCGAAAGATATTGAACTGTTATCCGTGGGCTGATAGAATGCTTCCCCCCATTGCTGAGTGTGCAAGCGCGATGGTCCCGGAGTGAAAGTAGAAGTAGAGATACCGGTTATCCCTGTTGTTTTGATGTCGAGACCCCTACTCAGCCAAGCGTGGACAGAGAGCCCGGCATCGGTAGAGCGATACGTTTGATTCACAGATAAGGGATATTCAAAAAGGACCTCATCTGATGTTTGATTAGCTCCTAAGGCTATGATAGTAGACCTCCCAACTGTGTGTTGATTGGCCGATTGGCTCATGCCTTGCTGGTTAAACAGATCAGAATTGGAGTACCTGAGATTTTGACTCCATTGGAATTCGGATGAACTTATAGAAAGGGTTCTTTCACCAGGAACAGAGTACGCCAGAGAATCGTTTCCTCCAGTCTGATTCTTGACAAGGCTCCGCATGGTTTTGAATTGCGGATTAGGTGCATCAACGTAGGGCTTCTCTATTCCGGAGCTAGTAATATCCAAGGCGGAATCACTCAGATACATGAAGATATTTCCAGTTACCACCCAATATGGGCCGATGCTGTTAGAGAGTGTGACGGTCCCGTTTCGTGAAACACTCAAGCCGACAATCTTGATTGCAAATGAATGAGGCTGACCATCTTTGAGAATGGGAAGGAAGGGCGAGATGTCGATTCAGGTTGTCGCTGATCAAAGGCGTCTATCCCAACAACCTGACGCCAGAAACCTGGTGCAACTCCACCAGTAAAAATGAGAGGAAACGACCACATAATACCAGCAAGAATGTCATCGACATGGAGCTGGACTTCGCGAAATGGGGAGTAACCATAAAACTAGCCAATTGTGGCATTGAAGGCCTCCGTGTCGTACGAAAAGACATTGGACCACCAGAACTCCTCAGTAGACTGACCACATGTAGAAATGGACACAACTGCACGCGAAGTATTAGGAGGTACCTGGTACAGTGTCTTTGTATTATCTCCGGGAACGGTAAAGGCACTCGACGAGTTGGAGGATGACTTCTTGGTAGATATCGGGAGAATTACATCTGCCGTCCTGACATTACCTTCATGGGAGAAGTTTGCAGTTGGAGTCACACCGAAAGGGCCAGTATATATATCATTTATGATATTTCCAAGGTCGAAAATCAGCTTTTGCTGTGTCTGCCATAGTGCGTTATACCGCGACATATCTTTTATATGGGTCCAGACAATTCCGTCGGCCGTAGGTTCCGCTGTCGAGGTACGGAATACCTCTGTATCTCCAAGAAACAGAAGTGCTAATCAATCGAATTGGCGGCCTTGGGATGCAACCGTGAGAATAATCTTAACCGCGTCGAATTCACATTTGGGTGGGCTGTAGTAACCTATTGAGAGAAAATCAATATACTGTAAATCTGACTGCGCTCGTGGCTCGGATTACCTATAAAGGGGTGTCCATAGCTCGAGGCAAATACATGCTCCATGAGCGGTACATCTTGGTTACAATGCGAGCCGTCATCTCCCCCATATTGAACAGGCTGATAAATTTGAAATACTTCTGATGTGCCCTTAGAAGGAGCAGCTAAAAGAAAACAAAGCCATAAGACCGTGAGAAACAACATAGTTACGACGTAACTGCCTCTTGAGTTGTTTGAAGCAGGTCTGGATAACAGTCCTTGCGTTCAGCGTTTAAAACACCACGGACCTTTTCAATTGAAAAATGGAGGGTTGCAATTGATGCTTATCATCGGACAAGCTCCTTTGTACTTTCTCTTGCTGGGGATTGTCAAGTCAGGCACATATGATGGCTTTGGCGAATACTGAAAGTTATTAGAGTGCTGTGATCAAGATAAAAAACTGCTTGTAGGCAGGGTTAGTGCAATAACAGGATATCGATTATGGAATGAGGGGGCAGGTCATAATATAAGAAGCAACCAGTTAGATACTAGTAGTATGGCCCCATTGCACATACATTAGCGTAGAATCAGGCCGTAGCGCCCATTAACTGCAGCCAAAAACTTATAATCTCAACAACGGGTGCTTTGTCGAAGAGTCCTCGGCTTATGATTAAAGTGGTGGATCCGCATGAACCCCGTTGCCTTGTTCCCTTTCCCTATAGCCGGAGGAATTTTTCGATTAGTTGTTAAGCAATTATTGGCCTGCAAGTATGGTTCCCCTGTTATAGACACGGTCTGCACATAGGTCTGGTTGGAAAATCTGGCTCATTGAAGAAATGTGACGGATTTAATGATCATCAGAGTCCGATAAGTCCAATACTACACTTGCAGGGGCAGGACAATGCTGTCCGTGCAATTTGAGCTTTGTATATACATGTCTTCTGTGGTCTGCTGCAGGGGAGATACTGGAAGATTGGGCGATGTCCATATTGGTGACATGAGTGACTCGTCACACCAACTTGCACGTTGAATCACATCCTTTCTGAAGGATAATAGGGCTCGATGTTGATTTCCATTACTAGATCGAGCCGCAAAACTGTAAATAATAGCGTGTGCATGAAAATCCTGAGGAAGAGCCACCCTCAATATATCTGCCTTAAACATTTAAAGCATACCTAGTATGCTTAGCTGCATCAACTTTCAAAGCTGCATGTAATCGCATTCTCTGACACTTTTGACGGTTAGGTAAATACCAAGATGCACTGTTCAATTAGCTTCCGCATTGATTAGATGGCTCTTCCCCTTTCTCGCTTTGTCCTCTGCCACGTTACGCCCATTGCTGGGTAACATATGGCAAGGTTTCATCCCTAGTTCTTTGCTGCTATAGAACGAAAGTCTGGATGTCAAAATAACAATAGAATGAAACCGGGCTGTTGCTTAGCGAAACAAAGGGATTGAAACGGGAGACATCCCTTCTCTGGTGATATGGTCCGGGGTATAGTCCAGGATCAGAGCGCATGGTAGTTCTAATATACAATATGTGAAGCTCCTGAGTCCTCTCCCAACCAGACAAGCACACTATTAAATACTTTCTCTCCCTTCTTCTCCATCCTACTCACAAACAAGCCTTCGACTCACATGAAAAGACGCCAGGCACCGAGAATCAAAGCGGCGGTACCGGTGCAAACACCCCTGGGGAAAAAAACATATATTAGTACAATGTAGAGCAATTTTCCGGAATTCAGGGTTACAAACATCAGCCACTGTAGCGTAGAGAACTTCACGGCCTCTACACGCTCTCTCAAACCCGCGACCTCCTGCTCGATTCGCGTTTCCGTCTCTTTTATTCGCATTTCTTGACTGTTTGCTTCTTCTCGAATACGACCTTTTTCCAGGTTTAGGTCCAGACGAACAGATGCTTGCGTGCGCCCAATCTCATCTCGAAGTCGTGAATTGAGCTTAGCCAGATCTGCAGCAATCTTCTCATGTGATGAACGCGTTAGTTGTGCTTCAGTTGAATCTGCGTTGAGTAATTCGGAGCGGAGTTTGGCGAAATCGACTTTCTGGGTATACGTCGATCTCTCGGTGTCTGTGGAAAAAAAAAAACGATCATTAGCTTCAGAGTCCAGGAGGTGCTATGCGGAATGTGCAGTGGTTTATGCCTTGATGCTATTTGACATGCTTCGGCCGAATGACTTAGGTGCCACTCACCTTCTCTGAGGACCATTGTCCGGGTTAGATTCTGAATAGACTCTTGAATAACATCATTTAGGACCCGCATCATCGCGACAGCCTGTTCCTCACTGAAACCCTCCTCTTTCAACCGCTGAACGAACTTTAACGTATCGAAATGGTGGTCCCTTCGTTGGGGGGCGGAAGCATGAAAAGCGCGCCGAGCTGGTTTGAACGCGGCGACGTAGACACCATTATATCGGATAGGGTTGCCTGGGAGCACTGCTGGTCGACATGTTGGACGACTGGTTGATTCGGGTAATCGTCTAGATCGCGATGATAAGGTTGGCTCTCGGATTGTTGCGGAGATGAATGTAGAAGAGTGAGGAGAAAGGGTCAAAGTATGTAGTTGTCGTCCGGCAGAGTTCCAGCTATATATGCGTAGCGTTTTCTGTTGTTGCCTTGCTGATAGAATGTTGTTCTGGGGGGGAGGAAAAGTAGTCCGAGCAGAGGAGCCGTTCCATGTCAAGCGAGGGAGTATAGACCGTGGCACTTCGGTAACGGACTTTTGTGGTGCCATTTCCTTGCGCGGTATAATAGTAGTGTTTTGGGCGAGTCAGGCGCAAGTAGTTTATAGGAGGGGCTTCCAAAGATGAATGTCTGTGACCAGATCCATAAAATCAAATGACGATGAGGCGATCCGGATGACTAACTAAGGGTTCCCGTACTCTCATTCGATGGTCCGGGACGCCAGGCTAAAAAGCCTTTAATGGGGTCTCGACTTCCCCGAGTCGGAAAACGGGGGACTTTCCCGTCTCCGGAGAAGTTCTGGTACAAAATCAGGATCTAAGAATACTAAGAGTCTACCGGCACATTTCGAAGTGATAAACATTTAAAAGAAAACTGATATAAATTTTGGCAAAGCATTGTATCACGGTCATGATAACCTGTATTGTGACTAAAAATAAGTACGCGGTTTAAATATACAAAAAGTTATACGTGAAGTAGGAATGATAAAAGTAACAAGTCATAGGTAAGAGTTCTAGTCTATTTTGTCTAGTATCTATTAGCTATGCATTGATAATAACCAATTTCACTAGCTTCGTTTAACAAAAGCAAGGTCTTATGATAACTTCAGCTTAAACATGATTTAGCCTGTCTCGGGCATTTCTAAAGGAATGGAGGCCGTCTAGACATGATGCTTGTTAAACCCAGTACAAGGTATAGGAGGGGTTATATTCAATTTATCAGATTTAAAGATCCAAGATGAAACTGAAATTAGAAGTGACTCACGCCATAATTAACTCCAGGGTTGTAGAGGGAGATGTCGAGGCAGAGAGATGGAATGAGGATGAAAGATTAGGAAGGAAGACGAGCCACTTTTATGGAGCGGAAGGTTAGTAGGCTCTCACGTCTATTTATAATAACATATAATAACGTGCTCTGGTACATGCATTGAGCTCGAAGGCTCAATCATATCCCGTCTATAGCTCGCAAGGTCAAAGCAGGATGAGGGGAGTTTGGCCGAGAAAGAATGATTCAAAGCACGTCATAATCTTGGAAAATTTGAGCTGTATATATTTCTTCAAGTAAACACTTAGTTGCAATGATACCTGACATTCTCATGTCATAATCGAGTCCTTCTGTAACAGCATAATACGTATTAATCCTGTTTGAGCCAAATAATTTAAAAGAGAGAATCTTGCTGATTAATCCCAGGTTTGCAGCTGGAATATTTCTCTCAGCTGCTTCATGGTATCTTCGGGGTCCTTGACCGCATGCCCAACTGTCCTAGAATCGCTATAGATCTCGTAATCATTACCTCCGGGAAAAGACTTATCACCGAAGAAGTGAATGGTCTTGTATTCAATGCCCGAGAGATCTTTCTCGGCTTCAATATGGCGCAGGCAGTAGGTCTTGTCCCAACCCGTTGGGAAAACATCGAATGAGATTTGGCCACCAATCGAGTAACTACAAAGACTATCGTTAATATTGAATGTTGGATTGTATAAGCCCGAAGCAATTGCATCTATGGCATACCTAAGGCCGTAGTTAGGAAATTCTGTCCTGAGGGCTTCTACGAAGCCCTTTCTGATGTTGTGCTGTTTGTCATAGCTATCATCATTATAAGCCAACTGTAGTAATTCGGAGCAAGAGTGAGCTTCGCTACATACGCTTCGAATTCATTTCTCTCTTCGACACTGGCATTGCGACCAACGGGGCTGACATTAATCATTCCGTTGCGGAACTCGACGAAAGTACCACGTTTCTTTGGCAGCTGCAGATCCGCGATGTACTTGAGGCAGAAATTAACCAACTTTTGGTATTTCTCTTCCCCTATCCACGCGATAAAGCTGTTACCGATGAGGGACCTGCCCAAGCGAATTGCAGTCAATCCATTTTCGGCAAAGCAAAAATCGAAAAGTGAGGAGACTTTTGTCGAGGATGTGCCTAATTGCTCTTGCTGCTTGGCAAGATCAGAGCCACCAACCTGTGCAAAGTGAGGCTGCGGGCTACTTTCCGAGAATAATGGGGACTAACGGTTCCAATAGCACACCTATGGCGCAATTGAGAGAGGAGCTGGAGCATTTCGGGAGAGATAGTCTGCGTGTTTCCAAGAACTGGTTAGTGAAGCTTTTACCCAAAATCCTTGAAATGAGCCACCAAGACAGTGAGACATATTATCGTCTTTCCAACCTACCCTTCTCGCAGGAGTCAATGTACCGTCGACGTCGAAAAGACAGATTGTGTCCCTTACAGGACGGTCCTCCAGGGCTGGATACACACCTGCGGCTTCCGCTGCCATGACGCTGTTGAGATGGGAAGGTGTAAAAGATTGAGATGCGTAGAAAAGACAAAATCCCGAAAGGGAACAAAAATCAATCCGACATTCGCGGAGATTGTGATAACAGGCTCCTTCTATAGCCACGAAGAATGTCCTGACCGCATGCGGCGGGCGGAGGGATACCAGGCTACTAACCAGGTACCTAACTTACAATAACTTACCTGTTTTGAAAAGTTTATGTACTTGCACTGCACTAGGCATTGCGGTAACAAATAAAGGCAGTCAACTACTGCCACGATACAGTACTACAATGAGTATCACTAAATAGTAGTACGAGTAGTATCTCGACTCCGGAGTAAGTACATGCTAAGTAGGTATCATGTAGGTCAGCATGGGTCCATGCTTATCGATAACAACTTTGAGCACGGAGAAGATAAGGATTAAGTATGATATCATAGGGTTTGTGGTCATTCAATGTCGCACACCGAAAAGACAAATACCTTCTTGAGTATCAACTCTAGGGGCTAGTAATGTCATGAAACGCACACAATTATCCCTGAAATTATACATTTATTAAGCATTAGAGCCTCCGACCTGGAAAGCCTCCCCATCAGTCACTGTTGAAAGACAAATGAATGAATAAAATAAAAATAAGACCATTCGACATTGATCAAAACAATAGGCCAATATACAGTTATCGTCCCACGGTGGACTGCAAAACTTTGGCTGCCAATTCGCTTAATAACCTGGCACGGTCACCCTGCGGAAGATCTAGGAAGACCTCGTAGACGCTTTTGCCCTTCGCATCACGAACAGCGCCGAGCCGATTTCCTGCAACTGCACCAGCGAAAGCACCGGCAGCATTGGCGACAATAAACCCAAGTGCACCGCCACTTATTCCACCAACAATAGACCAGAAGCGAGATGTAGGCCTGGTCCGCCGACGGCCATCAGCGTCAGTATCATCACTAGCGAGGCCCTCCTCGCGTAGCATCTCTTCAAATACAGAACCAAACTGTTCAGAGGCGCGTTGTTCACGGTCGCTCGTGCCAAACCCAAATGAAGACCATGAAAATCCCCCGGTGCCACTTAGGGGCACTTCATCCTCGGTTTCTTCCACCGGCCTTGTTGCGTCGTACTCTCTCCGACGTGACTCATCTGAAAGGGTATAATAGGCATCATTGATTTCCTGAAATTTGCGCGTTCGGGCAGGCCGCTCAGAAGAGTCGGCAGGTACACGATCAGGATGTGATTTCAAGGATTCTCTGAATGGGTTAATCATATTGAAAAAAGTTAAGGTATGAGCAGACGTCGATATTTACCTTTTATACGCATTGCGAATTTCTCTTTGGGTTGCGTTAGGAGAAACGCCTAGAACTTTGTCTATACCCCAGTCAGAACAAGCAGTATCGTTTGCTAGTGGAATTGAGAATAGTATTTACAATAATCTGGTTGTTCTGAACACTAGATGCATAAGCGCTCACACATTCTAGACCGAGCCTTGTTTGGTTGACTTACTCGGCATATTATCTATATTAGCTATTATATAACGATCTATGAGTAGATAGAGATTGCAAATTTGGCGTGTATGTTTAGAAGATGGCCTCCAAATATATTCGAAGTTAGATTAGTACGCCGAGCGGGGCATGAGATGGAACTTCTACTTAACAACATCCGCAATGCAAATGAAGTGGCACGGGAGGGAAGATGACGTAACCTACTGCCCCCGTTGATGCCTTAGGCTGAAAGTTAAATATAAATGGCGAGTCGAGAGCTTCTAAGACTGAAAAGCGGTATTTATGACTGTATGATATTTTTAGCATGTAATTAAGTTAATGTTATCGTGTCTCCACGATATACACAAGTACAGAAGATTTCATTATTAAGTTTCTTCGCTAGGCCGCCTAGACTACGGTATGCCCCGGACAAAGTTGGAGACAAAAGAAAAAAAGGTAAGCATGGGTAAAATATTGTTAAAAAAAGAAGTATAAAATAGACAAGTACGCATTAAAAGATCAAGCAGCATCAGAGAGGATCATATCAGCTGCCTTTTCGCTGACCATGTAGGTGGGCAGCGCGATATAGTATCCTGGTGTCTTAGGGAAAACCGACGCGTCTACTACTCGGAGGCCATCGACACCTAGCACTCTAAAGCGAGAATCTAACACGCTATATCTGTTAGTATCGGGGCTGGGAGGGTTGGTGTAGCAAGCGTGATGGCCCCATGCCTCTCTCTTGATGAACTCTTTCAACTCTGCTTCAGTCATGACATTGGGCCCTGGCCATACTTCCTGAAAGCTTCCATCCAGGCGCCACCAAAGTACCAAAAATCTTCCTAGAAAACTCGATAGCCTCGTACACCGCCTGTAAGCCTTTGTCGTCTGCATCATCTTCTGTGACACCGGTATCGAACGAGTTGAAGTTAATGATCGGGGTGTCTTTAGGATCTGTAAATCTGAGCTCCACCGTGCCCGCATTATTGCGACTGTGAGACTTCAAGGTAATCCAAGTCCAATACTGAGCATTTTTCAGAGCTTCGTAAGAGTACCCAGGGAAATATCCTTGGAGGTTGACAGGGGCTCCGGGTATGAGGAGGTCGGGCTCTCTATCCGAAGCAGAGGACCTCCGGATGGTGGCAATCGCAATGCCGTTAGTTGTGTATGTGCCTTTGTCCAGGGCATTATCTTGCCACTGTTCAAGACAAGGGTCTGGTAGGCTATCTATGAATGTGCACTTGGTCGTAAGGGTAAAATCCGTGGGTGTCTTCCCAACCAAGCCAGTCTCATAGCGATCTTGGAGGTTGGAGCCAACACCAGGAAGGTCAACAAGCACTGAGATGTTCCATCTGTTCAACTCATCCTTGGGTCCAATGCCACTAAGCTTCAACAGCTGAGGGGTATTGAATGTGCCTGCAGACAAGATGACTTCGCGGGCCGCATTGACATACCCAGGAGAGTACCCTCAGATGCATTTTCCGAGTGTGGATCCGCTCTGTACAAACTCCGACCCGTGATATAGTCCAACCCAGTTGCCCTAGGCTCATCACCAGATGTCTCAAAGCGTACATTGGTTACAAGAGTGTTCAGCTGGATATCAAGATGTTATTTGCCCGAGCCATCGGCATTCACAGCTTTGCGTGTGCCCATCAAAAAGTCACGGGGACCTGTACGTCTATATCCAGGAATGTCTACAGCGAGAGGCACCTGGAACAGACCGGCTTGCTGATCATAATTCGCATCGTTGTTGTTGAGGTCTCGGAGCAGAATATCACCAAAGCCGGTCATAGTATTGACAATCTTGCCTAGTTGCAATAACCAGGGACAACAATTCCTGATCCTCAAGAACCAGCTTCAACTGTGTTAGACTAGTGGTGAGCCAGTCATTAAAACCATGCCCAGTAGTTCTGTTCGTTAAATAGCGATTACGCTCCAGCCGTTTCAAATAATCGCGCATCTTCTCGGCTGACCAAGAGTCGTCACCCGTAGCAGACGCAGTTTTATCCCAGTCACTGTCATGGGCAAGGATTGTGCTATCGAGTTGTTAGAAAGGATGGCAGACTGTATATCAATAGCTGGAGAACATAGAGTCTAACATCATAGCGTTGTGTGCAGAGCAACCGCCCAAGGTACCGGCTCAAGGATACAAAATTCCCAGTGGCTCCGAATTAGCAGGGGGATTGGGGCCAACATGAAGATCTCCAGACGAGGTTCTATACGTCATCTTTGAATCTTCCTCCGGACGGGTCAAGTTGGAGTAATGGTTGACGAAATAATCCCAACGCATTGGCTCATATTCAGTCGACTGCAACTGTAGTGCGGGCACCTGCTGCTTAGTTGCATTGCCCTGGTCATCCCCAGCGTCAATAAGAAGGACTCTGTAGCCTGCAATAGCCAATCGTGCTGCCAGTGGGCCACCTCCTGGGCCCGAACCGACAACTACATAGTCATATCCTGTAGCATTGTTGGATGCTATATAGGAGCTATTGGTGGACCGCTTTTGGCATCATGATGATTGGCTTTGTGGTCACTACTTTATAGGGCTTTAGTGCCCAGTCAAAAACCACCAACGTGAACAGAATGACTTACGAGGTTAGAACGGGGGCAAGGGTCAAAGAGACAGAGGGTGCACTAGCTAACGGTATATAGACTCAAAAGAGATGACTTTCTAAAGTCGTGTAGTCTTTCGTTCTTATATCTATTTATCAAGAGTAGCAGCATTCTCTCAGGAGAAGGACTCCTGAAGGTATGTTTGAAATGCATTATGACCATATGATAAGGCACCATTCCAAATGATAGACATATAGTATTCTATATACATATGTCGGTTATTGTACAGAGTATCCTTGGTTTCTTAATGGTATCTACTAAGGCCGAGCGTAATCTAACGTATTAGCCCAAGCCGAATGATCTAAGCCACTAACACAGTTGCGCATTTTAAGACAGGGGGGCCTGAATAAAAACGAGCGTTACCTCTCTCCTTGAATAGTCCTTTAATTTTCCTTCTTTTTTAAAATTAATAATCCAGTCTTATTAGACTCACAGTGGAATTGTATTTTTGTGGCTTGGACTGGTACGTAGGACTGAGGTTGCAAACATCACAGCCAATAAATATGAGCATATGCAACCCGATGATATGCAATAATCTCATGCAGATTATTATCCCTTGGTCCTTACTGCCCCTTGCAGCCCTCACCGTTGGCAACACCCGATCAACAGCGTATTCTCTTCATATCTTACGGAGTGATTATAAGAGGTAGACTATAAACACCTACAGGGGTATAACACTGGGCCGGTATATACACCACTGGCATATTATGAAGATTGGCTATATGACCAGTCATAGATTGGGGAAGCGGGATATTTGGCCATAGGTGGAAATGCAATCCCCATGTGGGCCGTAAGCTGAAGTCCAACGTCTGGGCCTGACTATGCCGTCCACAATCCGCATGTAGCACCTTTCCAATCCGGTTTAGCCCATAGATTATGAAGAAAAGGACAAGGAAAAAGCAAATAAAAGGGGAGACCTCCACTCAGAAACCCATAGGAGTAAATCCCACGAAGTTGTCTGCCCGGTTGAGACAGTTGAGTGCTTGCTCCACTAGCGCAGGCCATACTAGAATAGTGGTCCTAGTGGAAAATAAGCCGGTATTTTACCATAGAGTATAGTTTGTGATAATCATTTGCGTTATCTCACAACCAGCCTCGCGGAATAGAGCATGTTACAATTAAGGTTAACGTACACTAGTAGTGGGTCAGAAAGTGTCGGCCCAGGGCCCCCAGCTGTTGGGGTCACTAGTATCAACTTCATCAGCAGCCAAATTAGACATCGTACTAGTAGTAGTATTAACTGGACTCAGTAGCTCGGGTGAACTCCGTTCGACCGTTGAGAACTTGGGAATAGGTTTATACATAGTAGTTACTTTCCATACTATGTGCAAGGAAGTGGAACCTCCTCATGGTACATTTTGCGGGTTTTGTTCTTCTACGAGTCACTCGACACCACAATCTGTTTGACGAGACCCTCTTACTATTAATATCTTTTTTTTTTCCCTTTCTTTTGTAAAGTAAATATTCCTCCCCTATTTTGCTGGAAACTTCAGCAGCTAAGACATTCAGTAATTGTCTAATATTTAGTCGCTTCGGGGAATGACGGGTGACAGTTAGGGTTAAGGTTGATTATACCCTAAAACAAGTAAAGATTTACCCAGTGAAGATACTTGTATCTACTAGTAACCTTAAAGTTGTCAGGCACAACTAAAGGTTAATATTTCCGTGCTCTTTGACAGATTGAAAATTAGGTTATGGAAGTCTGAGCCCGAGGGCGGGCTAGTCAACCTTCCTCAGTTGTTTTAGGATCCACATGTATCAACCGTGTCTTGACGAGACGTGGTCAGAAAGAAGGGTATATAAAGGTGCAAAGAGAGAGGGGAAAAAAAGGAGAATATCCTGGGGAAGGAAGGACAGAAAGCAAAAAGCGCAATGGAAACGAAATCAAGACCGTAGAGAAAAGAATTTATGACAAAAGTAATTGAATGACTGGCCATGAATCCGGCAAGGAAAATTGAAGATTTTAAGAACATCGGTGGCTTAGCAAGTCAAATTGGCCGGAGTTGTCCATGTCTACAAGGGGAGGGAAGCCCGAATCATCTCCTTTCACTTTGGGCTTACTTTGCACCACGCCTTCGAGCCGAGAGCTGGCACCCCCCAACCGGCTCGTGCTGGTCTGAAACCTTGTATCGCCGAAAATACTGGGGCAGATGCGGGTCAGCAATGAGCGGATAGCCGGTAGGCAGGCACAAATAACTCCCACGTGGACCTCGATGGTGCTCCAGTATCCCACTTGGACATAGTCCCCTGTGTGGTCGTTAATCGACTATGCATTAAAACTCCTTTGATAAGGCAGTGTGGACTCACAGGTCAGGTTATCGGTATTTGCAAAATGAATAAGTGATTCCAGTCGTAGTATGCTGACCAGTGTGACACTGTTTCGTACGAGTAACTGATCTATAGCAGCTCCATTCCAAACACTTACAAGATACCAAAACTGAACATACACATCACAAAGAGCTTCTTTCGCAGGGAAAGCTGCAAGTGGTAGAGCTCACGGAGATTCATCATCATGACGACTAAATCCAAAACCATATTGAAGACGGCTGCCGCCCAGCCTTGTGCATTGATATCGTTGCACTGATACTAGTACTCTTTATTCCAGTGGAGCCAGGCTCCATCCAGAGGCCGGCACTGGAATACCGAAATCAATACAAATGCAATTATGTAGCAAACATTGAGGCCGATCATTGTAAACACAGCATTCTGGAATGAGCGCTTTGGAAAGACCCTTAGATAAAAGAAAAGAATCGAAATCTTCGTCAATGGTAGAATGCTAAGGTATAAGCACTCATCAAAGAAATATATCTGATACTCCTAACTCAGTACACTATATGCTGCAGAGACACTCGTCATACTAACCTTGAGAATACGGGTAATGTTGTCAAAGGGAAGCGTGCAGATATCTTTACCGAGGCCCGTATCAGCCACTGTATGCCATGGTCAGTGTAATTCCCCCCTACTAGGCAACTGTGGTGCACATACAAACGACAGATTACGATGAGAGGGTAATGACAGGCAGCTGTAGTGTCCTAATTAGATATTTTGCGCCCTTCGTCTACCTCTCGGGAGAGGTCATACTATGGTCAACGCCATTATCCAGTCATCCAACCCAAATTCACCACCACGGCACTTCATCCTTGCCATTATTCGAAGAACCAATGCCATCAAGGCCAATACCCCTCCCACAACGCCCGCGATGGACACCACTTTCGTATGGTTGAGCGCAGGCTGTCATTGAGATATTTTTGGTCGCTACATACAGTTAATAGGAGAGGCTAAGGGCCAAGGATATCAACATACTTAAAGAATCCCGGACTGTGCAATTTGCTGCAACACATATTTCTATACTGACAGTGAGAGCAGCATCCTTGCAAGAACCAGCTTCATCCTGGTCGGCTCTACTACCGTGTAGTCGAAAGGAAAGCAACAACCAAGAAGAAAGAAGCAGAACGTAAAAAGTATATTAGTATGGAATAGGGTTATTTGATGTACCTGAAGTAAATACTAGCAGAACTGAAAAGTTGTTAACCTTTATATTTTTTATTTATGTCTGGCTCGATTTTGTATTTCTTAGGATAAAACTAGAATTTTACTATAGCAGAGACAGTACTCTCTCACCCGAGGGCCGCGACCCTCTGCCAGTAAGCCTAGCGTACTTTAGAGTAAGTGAAATTTAGTGGTTGGTAGAGAGAGAGGAGGGGGGGGGGGGGGGGGTGTTGTTGGGATAGGTCAGGGGAAGCTATACTAGTTCGTAGTTTAACGGTTTCTCTTTGAGGAAG